ATGGTGTTGATTCTTTGAGCCTGTCTGTCAACGTCATTACTATTTTCTTTAGCCCTTTCTAAGGGATTATGAAGAATGAGCAGCATGCCTCATGGGGGTGTACCAATAATTTATCTTCTGGGTGTGGAAACTGAAGGTTTCTTCAAAGTGCCACCAGTCTTATAGGGCAGTGCCTTAACTCTCAGGCCAAAAGATTCTCTTCTATAGACTGAAAACAAAGATCTCTGCTGCTTGCTGCTTGGCAGCGAGGACAGGGAATGGTAGCAATGTTTCCTACTGCCTGATCCCACTGTCCATTATTTTGGAACACCCATGGAAACACTATATATTTTTCTAGTACGCTCCCATGCACATGATTTGGGCTATGGTTTCTTTGATTCATCTGACTTATCTGTTCTCTGTCTTTTAGAGATCCCTCAAGCTTCTTTCTGTTTATAGAACACTTTCTGTTTTTCTGACACTGTATTGATTTATTCTTTCAAAACATGTTATCTGTCATTTTTAGGAACTGAGATAGGAAGAAGATATTGGTTCTTGTGTTCAGTCCACCATTGATTAAATTTAACGTCTCTGCTTTTTCTGCCATTTCTTCTTTCATTCCTTCAGCCATTCCTTCATCTATTCATCCCAAATGCCTATTTAGTATCAATTCTGTACCAAGCTCTGAATAGGCTGTCTTTCAACTAGCTAATGCTACTGCCTGTAAATAATAGGGTCAGGACTTTATCTTTTTTTTCGCAACAGAGGTGTTGCTGCTGAATAAGCATCAATCTGTGCACACAGTTTTTCTTGACTTTGGACTCATCTTTCTTAGCATGACTGTTTAGTGTTGCAATGGTTGGCTATCAAGTACGTGAAACCAATTGATCCGTGTTCAATGATCAAACCTCATTCACACAGTGTTTGAATTAAGACAGCTAGCTGGATGATGCTGACCACTGCTCTGCATAGCTCCTGTTTAATCAATCAGTTTACTGACATGTTTCATAAATCTGCTTCTTAGCAGTCCCACTCTTTCTGCCTTAACGTAACTTGTCTAGTTAACTAGCTTCATGTCTTATCACTAGTAAAATGCTCATAAAGTTTGTCTTGGTTGAATTAGTGAAGAAAGACCCACTAAGTGGTCTCCTTATTAATGATGTCTTTCACTCCAATAGTCGTTTGAACTGCAAGGTCAGTGGTTCAAGCTCACCAGCTGCTCCTTGGAAACCCTATACAGAGTCACTTTGGATTGGAATCCACTCGATGGCACTTAACAATAACAACAACAACAATAGCTAGTGAAATATTCTAAAATGGAGCTCTATTACTTCCTTGTTCAGAAAATCTGCAAAGCCTCTCACCTACTTAACATGTGACAAACCTTAGGCCCCAATTTTCTAGAGATTATTTTATTACATACTTTGTATAAGTAGTGGCAATACCAACATATGATACTACTTTATAGGTACAACTGTAACTATTTTGCTGGTACAGCAGAACAGCCATTCTAATAGTGATTAGGAAAGTGGAAATACCCAGAAGAAACTACACAAATAAATCAATTAGGTTAGAGAGTGGAGGAATAAAACGAATGAATTGGTGAAACCTGTAGAGTAAGGATATCTCAGAATTTTGTCTTGCAAACAAATACAATTTCAGGACTAGAAAGACATTGATTCATAAAATGAACTATTTTGTATATAGAGGTTAAGCAAGCTTTTTGGAGTTTGTGCATGAAATGGCAGAAAATGAAACTTGCTGGTGGCCATTACTCAAATTATTGTCTTGACGGTTTCATTTCTGGTTTTGTGGCTCAGCTTGGTGGTGGTTGTGTGCTGTGGAGTTGGTCCCGACTCATAGCGACCCCTTATAGGGTTTCCAAGGATGTAAATATTTACAGGAGCAGAAAGCTTCATTTTTTCCCCTGGTTCTGCTTAAACTCATGCTTATCTAGTGGTGAGAGAGGGGCGGCAGGGGACCCCTGTAGTGAGAATGACAATGTGTGCATAAGTTCAGGGCCATTAATGACCAGTCTAGACACACAATTCCTCGGATTCAGGGCTTTATTAATGAAGGTATTTTTATTAGTTAAAAGTCATTCAAATGTAAATGTAATAAAACCAACTGAAATGTGTAAAAATAAGTAAGCAGAGGATTCAGTGACTAAAAGACTTTAGGAAGTCTGATGTGGAGCTGGTGTCAGGTGAGATGGATTCAGTGTTCTGAGGTTGTGTCTTCTCTCAGCTTGGCTTAAGGGTGGAAAGAAGTGGGACAGAGAACCATTGTTTCAAGCTTAGGATGTCACAATTATTTTACTTTTTCAACTATGTGAAAACATTTAAGAGGAAGTTATGATATGGTCAGAGACATAGGCTGAATGCACATGGGAGGAAGAGTGGGATATTTATATATCTATATCCTGGTGTGACACTGCGGGTTAATACGCTGGACTGTAAGGTTAGCAGTTTAAGTTTACCAGCCTCTCCTCGAAAAACCTATACAGGGTCGCAATGAATCAGAACCAACTTGATGGCACTTAACAACTATACACACACACACACACACACATATATATTTATATATCTCATACAAATACATAGGCATTTGAAAGAGGATATTTGTACATGGATAATCACAGGGAGTCCTGGTGTGGCACTGTGGGCTAATGCATCAGACTGCAAAGTCATTTGAACTGCAAGGTTGGTGATTCAAGCTCACCAGCAGCTCCTCGGAAACCCTACACAGGGTCGCAATCGACTTGAAGGCACTTAACAACAACAACAACCACCACAGGGCTGAAGCGAGACAACTGTTTTTTCATGAAAGAGATTGTAGTCATTGAGATGAAACTAAGTATATGATTTATTAAATGTAAAACTGATGATCTTATCTGTAAGCCTTTACTCAGTTCATAATAAAAAAAGAGAGTAAGTTTTGAGGTGTCAGCTGTTGCTAAGAAGTTCAGTAAGGTAAGGACTGAAAATCAATTATTAAATTTGTGAAGAGAGAGGTTTTACTTACGTTGGTCTGATGGGATGGTGTTGTTTAAAATCTGATTTGCATAAATGAATAAATATGGAAGTTGAGGGAATACGTACTTTTTCCAGGAGTTTTGCAGTAAAGACCAGGAAAAGCAGAAAGTTGCTGGATGGGATGAGGAAGCTTGGGCTTCTTCTTTCTTTCCTTTAATATATTGAACATATTATAGCATATTTGTTTAAGGGAATGATCTGGTAGAGATGAAGACATTAATGATGCAGAAAAGAGAAAGGATACCTGTGGTGGTAGCAAAATCCCTGAACCAATTGAAAGAGTCTGGAATCCATTGCAGAAGTACAAGGGTTGACCTTAGATATGTATGTTGTTGTTGTTAAGTGCCGTTGAATTGGTTCTGACCCATAGCAACCCTGCATAGGGTCTCTGAGGAACTACTGGTAAGCTTGACTGCTGACCTTGTGATTCAAACTGACTTTGCAGTTCAGTGCATTAGCCCACAGGATAAGCACCGCAAGGTCAGCAGTTCAAACCCTCCAGCTGCTCCTTGGAAACCCTATACTGGGTGACTATGAGTTGGAACCTACTCGATGGCACTTAACAACAACAACAACAAGCAAGAGAGAAGACTGTTCCTCCTTAAAGTGAATGTTCAGGTCAGCAGGTGCTGTAGGCTGATCCGGCAGCTTCATAATCAATCATCCAGGCACCATTGATCTTTTTTACTCTGCCAGTATCAACATGTAGCTTGTATATCATGGTTTAAAGGTGGCTGTTTCAGCTCCTGCTATTGTGATTGAATGCTTGCCAAAAGAAATGAGAGAAGTAGCAGGGAAAACACAAGTTTTCTCTTTCAAAAAGGAGCCCTGAGCGCACTATGGGTGAAGCTTTGGGCTTAAAGTGTGGCAGTTCAAGTTCACCAACCACTTTGCAGCAGAAAGATGAGGCTATCTGCTTTGTAAAGATATACAGTCTCAGAAGCCCTATATAGGGTTTCAGAATCCACTCAACGACAGTGGGCTTGGCATTTTTTCTCTTTAATGGACACAACCCGGAAGTTATCGCTATTAATTCTGATCATGGAGTCCTCATGTGATGCTGTAGGATAAGCACTGGACTGCTGACCGCAAGGTTGATGGTTCAAACCCACCAGCTGCTCCACAAAAGCGCTATACAGGGTAACTAGAAGTTGGAATCGCCCCAACAGTACTTAACAACCTAACAACAATAGCATTCCTGATCATATCACATTGTCACTCCTTGTCTCAGCCTGGGAAATGTAGTGCTTGGCTGAGTGGTTATCTGTTCACTTAAAAAATGCTGTTCTTACTGTATGAAAAGTGGAAAAGGGATATTGGGGAACTGCCAGAAACCTCTGTCACAAGAGATTTGGTAAGTCATTTTCTGACTGCTTCTAATTTCCCAATGAAGAGGTGATTTCATGTGTTGAGAACAAAGATGAATGTGGATTTGAGGGTTTGAGGAGAGAAGAGAAGGAAGAATATAGTCATTTTGGAGAACAAATTCAGTAGGGTACTGTAGTAAGACTGCCAGGTAAAAAAGACAGACAACTTGAGCTTTGTGGTCATATATTTAGAGGGAGAAAGACTAGTTAGCTGCTAAAGTTAACTGCCTAGTTAATCCAGGCAGGATGGGGTAAGGGACCTAGTACCTGTACTTTTACCCAGAGTCATCTTCTTAAGGAGGTAAGCCCAGATCCTAAAAGGGAGCTACCATGGAGAAGCTCTGGTTGCATTTTCTGGTCTTGATCAATTTCTATAATGCTTCTGACCAGACAGGTAGGGGCTAACCCAGGTTATCCCTGAGATTTGATATGAGGGGATGGTTGTGGGAGCTAAGATTGTACAAAGTGAAGCCAGAGGACCATTTAGTATGGGTGTTTGTGCATGTGTGAGTGTACCTGAAGAGAGGATGAGTCAATATCTTAATTTCTAACTCTATATGTAAGTGAGGGAATAGATCTTTTTGATCTGAGAAATTTCTCATCAGTACCCCTTTTATCTATGTTTCCCAAAGAGTTTGATAATTCCTATGTGTCCCTGAAAGCACAGTTGAAAAATTCACAAAAAGCCTTTACTGTGTGCCTCCACATCAGCACTGTGGCTATAGCATTTTCTCTTATGCCACTCTGAGACAAACTAACAGGAGCCTCATATTTTGTTTGGTCTGACAGTAAAGAATTCATTTTTTACAGTGAGTGGTTTTTCTTGTTAGGTACCATTGAATCTGTACTGACTCATAGTGGCCCTGTGCACAACAGAACAAAACACTGCCTGGTCCTGTGCCAACCTCACAGTCATTGCTATGCTTGAGCCCATTGCTGCTGCCACTGCACCCATCCATCTCATTGGGGGTATTCCTCTTTTTCGCTGACCTCTTTTTCTACTTTATCAAAAATGATGTCCTTCTCCAGGGACTATTCCCTTCTGATAATATGTCCAAAGTATGGGAGACAAAGTCTAACCACCTTGGCTTCTAATGAACATTCTGGCTGTACTTCTTCCAACACAGATTGTTTGTTCTTTTAGTGATCTATGGTACTTTTAATATTCTCCTCCAACACCAGAACTCAAATAATTCAATTATTCTATAGTCTTCTCACTCATTGTCCAACTTTCACACACAGATGAGGGTCACTCATTGTCCAACCTTCACACACATATGTCCAACTTTCACGCACATACCTCATATGTGGGTCAGGCGTGCCTTAGTCCTCTTAAACACTTTAAAGAAGTCTGTGCAGCAGATTTACTTAATACATTCCATCATTTGATTTCTTCACTGCTGCTTCCATGAGTGTTGATGATTGATCTAAGTAAAATGATATCTTTGACAACTTCAATCTTTTCTCCATTTATATGGATGTTATTTATTGATCCCGTGGTGAGAAATTTTGTTTTCTTTACATTGAGATGCAGCCCATACTGAAAGCTGTGGTCTTTGATCTTCATCAGTAAGTATTTTAAGTCCTCTTTGCTTTCAGCAAACAAGGCTGTATTATCTGCATATCACAAGTTGTTAATAAGTCTTCCTAATGACACATTTTTTTCCATATAATCTATCCTCTTAGATTATTTGCTCAGCAACAGATTGAATAAATATGGTGAAAGAATATAACCCTAAGATATACCTTTGTTAATTAAAAACCATTCTGTGTTCCTTTGTTCTGTTCAAACAACTGCCTCTTGGTCTATGCACAGGTCTCTCATGAGCACAATTAAGTGTTCCAGAATACTCATTCTCCGCAATGCTGTCCATAGTTTGTCATGATCATGGAGCTAAAGAATTATTCAGGTTTCCTGCAATCAATGCCTTTCAGGAACACATTTATACAAACTGGGAGTCTACCTCAGGAATTGTTGAGTATTGGGTAGATGGGAAACCCAGGATAAGGAAGAGCCTGAAGAAGGGATACACTGTGGGATCAGAGGCAAACATCATCCTTGGGCAGGAGCAGGATTCCTTTGGTGGAGAATTTTATGTAAACCAGTCTTTGGTGGGAGACATTAGAGATGTGGGACTTTGAAATGTAGAGCTTAACACTGTTCTGGTGGGACCATCAGCCATGCTGTCACGGGCTGGCAAGTGCTGATATTAGACATGCATGGTGAAGTGTTCATCCAGCACCAGCTGTGGTCCTGAGGCCTTGTTGTGGATCCTGGAGGTACCCTTTCCTAGCAATTATATCTGGCTTGGTCCACATTTCTGGCTCTGGAATTTCTTCCCTTCACCTCCCATATACATTGCAGGTCATGGGTGGTGCTAACAGTTTGTGCTAGACGACAAGCCTAAGGAGTCCTGGTATGGTGCTGCAGGATCAGCACTCGACTGCTAATCACAAGGTTGGCGGTTCAAACCCACCAGATGCTTCTT